TCTCCACCAATCACAGCACAGCCCAGGTGTAGATGTCGCCATTCCCATATGCAGACCTCTGTTCCTTAGAGGCTGGAAGAGAAAGCAGACACTGCTCCCAAAAAATTACTTGGACATCTGAGATCAAGGCACATTCCCAAGCTGGAGTAGGTACCAAATAATTCTCAACAGAATTACATGATACTATAAATATATTCATGTTTTCTTACATTACTGTGATTTCAATTCTTCATGGTACCAGGCCCACTGTTATTTCATACCATGGCTAACTGCATACCATTTAATCTGTCTCCAGATAACCAAGAGTCAACTAAATTAGTCATTCAAAAACAGTAAATTTAGGAACTATCTATCTGTTTCCATCTATATTGCCAATCAGTGTGTCATTATTACATGATGAAAGTAATTAGGAACAAAAATGAAGACTATATCCAGAAGAGGCCTTTCAATGCAGACCCTACATCTACAATTCTTACTTCCAAAGAACAATACTGAGACTTGCTCCTGGCAATATGAATCATGACCCATAAGCACTGGCATCCCCTGAGTGCCTACTAGAAATACAAATACTGGCTTCCCCAGCAGCTCAGAATGTGGCCTGTATACATTACTTCACTTAACTCATTCAAGAAATGCTGACTGAGTTCCTACTATGTGCTGGACACTTTCCTAGAAGTGTGGCACACAGTAGTGTGCAGGACAAAGGCTGGGCCGCTGATAGCTTATGATCTAGTTGAAGATAGAGTCAATCTATAACAACATTCTGCTTTTAGAGATTGTTATGAAAGACATTTATTGTTGTTTTAGGTCACTAAGTTTGGGGGATAATTTATTATTCAACAAGAAAACACCTTCCTTTCTGGTCTCCAACACTCCAGGCACATTCCCTGAGGGTGTTTGCATTTGCTGTTCCCTCTGCCTGGAATACATTTTTCTAGACAGTTGCACTATTCCATCCCTCATTTCCTTTAGGTCTTTATGCAGAGGCCATTTTGAGGGCTTTCCTAGTTACTGCATCTAAAATCTAACCCCCCTTCTATTTCATTTGCTTCCTGCTAATTATCAACACTTCTCTTTCTGTTTACTGTTTTATCCCCAGATCCTAGAACAGTGCCCAGTTCATAGTAAGCACTCAGTATGTACCTGCAGGTAAATGAATACTTCTGTTTAGTGGAGAGCTTCCAGCAAGCACATCTAGAATCTGTGCACTCATGGCACCCAGCAGCAAGTATGTGGCTTACTTAAGTCACTGTTCCAAAACAGTTGCTGTTCTCACTCCTTCCTACTTTCAAATAAGAGTTTCCCTGATGAGGTTGGTAGGGCCCAAGACGGCACCCAATGACCCTTGCTGCCTGGTAGTCTGGAAAGACAAATTCCACTCATGTAATTCCTTCTCTTTGAGTATGACTGGGACCTATGACTTGTTTCTAATAGAATGCAGCAAAGGTGACAAGATGCCATTTCCATAACGCTAACCTCAACCTTAGACCAAGCAAGGGTGCCATCTTGTTAGAAAATAGAAACATTTTCAAAGCTTCATTCTGTTTGAAATGTTTTCCCCCTTTATTTTATGTTTTTCAAATTACAAAAGCAATATACAATGCAAAAGTATTTACACGACTTATTACCCTTCTTCACCAAGGAAACCAATGAATGTTAACACTTTCAGGTATATTTTTCTACACTTTTCTCATTCACATAAACTTCCACATGCATCTATACACACATAGGAGTTTTAACTTTAAAAAAAATAAAATCATAAACATTATTATGAAATGTGCCCTTTTCAATTAATGATATATACCATGAACATCCCCACAAAATTAGCAGAATTCTAGATGCCCCATTCCCAGCCAAATCTACTAACTCACACATTTGTGGTATCACACATGATTCAGTCATTTATATATTTTCCTTTTCTTGGTTTTCCTTTTCCCTATACCCCTAACTCTCCCATAACCTACCTGCATTACCCGCCTCCCTCCAAGTCAATGTATACTCTTCTATACTTTTCTCCATGCACATAAAAGCAAATAAACATATATAGATACCTGTTTATTGCTGATAAACACCTAGAGACATTTTGTTAACGGTTTACAAAAATGGAGTCATATTTAACAAACTTACTATCTTGCATTTTTCACTCAAGAGAACATTGTGGAATTCCACTCAAGTCCTCTAGCATAGTTCTAATCTGTCCACCTTAATGGCTATATTAACATTCTATGGAATGGATATACTATAGTTCTTCCCTTCCTCCAATTTCCCAACTGATGGGGATTTATTCTGATTCTAGTGTTTGCATTGGTGTTTTGTTTTGTTTTGCCATTGGGAACAATTTTACAATAAATGTCCATGTTCACAAGTTCATCTGTCTTACGTATTGGAGCTTTACATCTAAGGGAAGATTCTCCAAAGTGACAAAAGTATTTTAGGCATATTACCAGATTTTTTTTTTTTTTTTTTTTTTGAGACACAGTCTCACTCTGTTGCCCAGGCTGGAGTGCAATGGTGCAATCTTGGCTTACTGCAAGCCTCTGCCTCCTGGGTTCAAGCGATTCTCCTGCCTCAGCCTCCCGAGTAGCTGAGGCTACAGATACCTGCCACCATGCCTGGCTAATTTTTGCACTGTTAGTAGAGACAGGGTTTCACCATGCTGGTAAGGCTGGTCTTGAACCCCCAACCTCAGGCAATCTGCCCACCTTGGCCTCCCAAAGTGCTAGGATTACAGACGTGAGCCACTGCACCGGCCTAAATATTACCAGATTTCTTTCCAAAAGAGTAATTTGTATTACTTTTCAAAATTTATTTCTCCACCAGCAATGTATAACATCTTTTGTTCTGACAGCTAAAAACGCTGTTACATAGTGATATCTTATTTCAACTTTAAATCTGCATCACCAAACGACTACTGCGGATAAACATTTTTGGATGGGTCCATCGGCCACTGAGATTTGCTCTTCTCACGTGTCACCTCATATTCTTTGCCATGTTTGGCTACTGGGTTTTCTTTCCTGTCCATTTGATGAGTGTCTTCTCTCTGATCAGCTCTACAAATATTTTCCCACAATCTATTATCTGTTGACTTTGTTTATGGCATCTTTTGTCACTCAAAAGATTGTGCCTTTTAGATAGTCAAATGTTTATTTACTTATTTTTTTTAGACAGAGTCTTGCTCTGTTGCCCAGGCTAGAGTGCAATGGCACAATCTCAACTCCCTGCAAACCCTAGCTCCCCAGTTCAAGCAATTCTCATGCCTCAGCTTCTCAAGTAGCTGGGACTACAGGCATGCACCATCACACCCAGCTAATTTTTGTATTTTTAGTGGAGACGGGGTTTCACTATGTTGACCAGACTATCCTTGAAGCCTGACCTTAGGTGATCGGCCCACCTTGGCCTCCCAAAGTGTTGGGATTACAGGCATGAGCTACCACACCTGGCCTTCAAACGTTTATTTCTAAGTAGCTTCTGAGTGTCCTGTGTCGGTAAAGTTAGTCTCTCCCAACTCCTAGACTGTACATGTAGGCTCCTTTGATTTTCTTTTAAGAATTGTGTTGTTTGAAAATTTTGTCTTAAATCCACCCATAATTTACTTTTGTGCTGTTAATCCAACATTTCTTCCTTCAAGATTAAAAAGTTATTGTTCCAGAATTCTTTTTAAGTAAACTACTCTTTTGCCCTATGGTTTGAGATTCCACCTTTTTCACATATGAAAAAATTCATATATATCAAAGTCTATTTCTGAATTTTCTGCTGTGTTCCATTTACTTGTTCCTTGCCAATACAATATTAATTTCATTAGAATGACTTCAAGTTATCTTCTGATATCTAGCATGACATTTTAAAAATATTTAATGATTATGGCTATATAATTGTATATATTTATTGGGTACATGTGATGCTTTGATATATGGTATGAGTTTTTTCATATTTTTTCTCAATGATTCTCAAAAAGTAATCATTGAGATTTAGTGTACTTCCAAAAGAGTTACATATCAATTATTAGGTGTTTTTTGTCAGCATGGAGAATGGCTCTTGATTTCGGTACTCCGCTTTCTTAGAAAAGTTAGCTTAACTCAAAAAATAATTAGAGTCTTGTCATTTATTGGTGTATACCATATTATCAGTAAAAATGGATAGTTTTACCTTTTCTGCAGCCTATACCAATTCATTTCTTTTTATTGCCTTCACTGGAACCTCTAAGACAATACTGAATTCCTGATTTTTAAAAATGCCTTTGGCATAATATATGCTATGAGGTTTCAGTTAAATTTTTTTTAAAAAACCTCTTTAAGTGGTTACCATCTATTACAATGTATATTAACACATTGTATGAAATGCTTTCTCCGTATCTGTTGATAGTTCATGTGATTCTTCTCCTTTAAGCTGTTACTTTTATTGATGTATTTCCTATTACTGAACTAGCTTGGCATTCCTAGGATGATTCTTACTATGCCATTCTTTGGGTATATGGCTGAATTCTATCTGCTAGTATTTTATTTATAATTTTTGTTTCTATATTCATGAGTAAAACTGGTCTGAAGTTTTCTCTTTTTCAAATATCTGTATTTGATTTTGGTGTTAATACTTATTCTGACTTCCTAAAACAAACAAGCAGCACAGTTCATGGATTGTATTACATCCATATCATAAATAACACCGGTACTGGCTGGGTGCGGTGGCTCATGCTCGTAATCGCAGAACTTTGGGAGGCCGAGGCGGGTGGATCACCTGAGATCAGGAGTTCAAAATCAGCCTGGCCAACATGGTGAAACACCATTTCTAATAAAAATGCAAAAAATTAGCCAGGCGTAGTGGCACATGCCTGTAATCCCAGCTACCTGGGAGGCTGAGGCAGGAGAATTGCTTAAACCTGGGAGGCGGAGGTTGCAGTGAGCTGAGATCACACCATTGCACTGTAGCCTGGGCAACAAGAGTGAAACTCCATCTCAAAAAATAATAACAAAATTAAAATTAGAAAATAAATAACACTGGTATTACTCTTTCTTTAAGAGACAGAACTAAGCATGAAATCATCTGAGCTTGGCACATTTTCCCATTATAGATCTGTAATCACTTTTTTGAGTTTTTCAATGATAATTGTTCTACCAAGTTTTCGACTTTTTATTGCAGTTTTCCTAACTTAAAGTTTATAAGAAAAGCATCCACTTTATCTGTTTAAAAAATATGTTGATTAGAGTTGTATGAGGTATTTTTTTTATCACTTAAGAAATCATATGGATATCTGTGGTTATGTCTCCTTTCTCATTTTGAATCAGGTAATCTTACATTGAGGCAAATCTTAAAAAATGTAGATTCCACGTGGCCATTTATTTTCTTATATGGATGACACGGCAACTCCGGGATGCACACTTCTTTTCAAACATTGAAATAATAAAAACATTGAGATTTAGTGTCCAGGGCACTTGCAAGGAAATTTATATATATATAAAAAATGTTCTTGAATTAATTTGCAAAGAGAGAGAAAGAAAAGAAATTCTCCTTCAGTAGTCTACGCATGAAACGTTTTTGAGTTTTACAACCTGTATAGAATAGCGTTTCTATGCTACTAATTTGCTGCAAGACATTTTCAGCAAGACCAAGAAAATATGAACAGTGTACTATAAACCAGGATGACGCTACATTTCATCAAATAGTGAGGGTGCTGGGCTGTCAAGGTTACGGTGTTTCATGTACCCAACATCAGGTTCTTATACTATTCCTTAGCTTTGTATTTTCAATATGAATAACTATATTTTAGTAAAGTTTTTGGCCAACTTATCAAAACACATTTAAAAGACACTGCTTTATTATTCTGCAGAGGACAATAACAACCTCTATAGCCATTTACATGCATTATAAAAAGGTGGGAAAATGTAGCTGGTATATTAAAGTTTTTTTAAAACAATAGTGGGCCATGTCATTATTGTTATTTTTTGGTATTGTTAAGACATCAAAAGGCAATGATGATATTTAAAGTGGAAAAGTTTTGTGAATGGCATTCTATATATTATGTGACGTGTGTAATATTCACATTTTATGTTAAATTCATATTTACAATTCCAAAATAAAAATAGTGCTGATTTTTATCACAGTGAGTATGGCTCACTGTGGAATATGCCATAATATGCCTTTAAGTCTCTTCACAGATATTTTGTATTCTGTTGTTATTCCATTTAATACATTTTTAAACATTTACATGCCAGGGTGACCACGCTTATGTTTTACAAAGTATTTTCTAGAAAAGTCTGTATAACAATTAGATCATGATTTCCATGATAATAAAACATTGTCAAAATTCATTAAAATGGTAAGATTTCTCCTAAGAATAAATTCCCTGCATACAATGAAACCAGATATTTTGCTCAAGGATTTCCCACAATTACTAAGTTTTCATTCCTGTAGGCATTCTTTCTAGCATGAATTTTCTGATGTCTACTGAGGTTTGGCTTCTGGTAGAAAGCTTTCCCACATTCATTGCACTCATAGGGCTTCTCTCCCGTGTGAGTTCTCCAATGTTTATTGAGGCATGACTTCTGGCTGAAGGATTTTCCACATTCTCTGCAACGATAGGGTCTTTCTCCTGTGTGCATTTTTCGATGTACGTTGAGGTATGACTTCTCACCAAATGACTTCCCGCATTCACTGCACACAAAGGGTCTCTCTCCTGTATGTGTTCTCTGATGTTCTGTGCGGTGTGACTTCTGGGTGAAGGCTTTCCCACAGAAAAAGCATTCAAAGGGTCTTACCCCAGTGTGAATCCTCTGGTGTTTGATGAGGGTTGACTTATGTGAAAAGGCTTTCCCACAGTCAGTGCACCCATAAGGCTTTTCCCCAGTGTGACTTCTCTGATGCCTAATGAATTCAGACTTGTAGCAGAAGGCTTTCCCACACTCACTACAGACGTGGGGTTTTTCTGCAGGTGGAACCCTCTTCCGTTTGTACACGAGAGAATCACTTACTGCTGGTTTGTACATAAGTGCTGGGTTCTGGGTGAAAGGTTTCTCACAATGACTGCATCCCCAGGGCTTCTCTCCATTAGGTCGTCTACCATGGTTTAAACACCGAAGCAATTTCCCATAACCATAACACTCATCCTGCTTTTTTGCACAGTTTCTCTTAAAACCAATGAAGTCTAAATTATGGCTCAAATTCTTTCCACAAGGGTTCCAGTTATTAGGGCTCTGGATTGAAGAAAAAAGATCAGAGCTCAGAAGTGATACTTTCCCAAACTTACTATAGTCATGGCTTTTTTCCTTGGCCAGTGTTTTCTTGCTTATGGCTGCACCTTGCCTCAAAATCATGTCTTGCTGTCTTTTCCTCTGGATATTAACTTGCCAGATGTCTTCTGGAGAAAGTACAGTGAATCATCTTTATGAAGCTTCATACTATTTGAGAAATGCTCTCAAAATTTAAAGAGGACACAGCACGTCAATACAGAACATGAACCATAACCCAAAGCACAAACACAGGGCAGAGCATTCTGTGAGTAAAGAGGATTCTGAAGACTAGCACAGATGGAATGCAATACAATCATAGAGTACAGACAGCAATAATTTCAAAGAAAATAGAATATTATAGAGCAGAGGTTGGCAAACTTATGGGGTTAGAAAGTAAAGGCTTTGTGAGCCATATGGTCTCCATCACAATTTCTCAAGTCTCCCACCATACCATGAAAATATAGATAACATGTAAACATAAGAATGTGGCTGTGTTCTAATGAAACTTTATTCATAAAGCAGGTGGCCAATCAGCAGGCCATAGTTTGCTGATCCCTGTTATAGAAGAAAGAAGGTTAAATACGATGCGGTACCATGCTATCCAACATGTGAGTCTTCAAGTGGCAATTCTGGCCTTACTTGGAGTTTGTTAGATGTGCAGAATCTGAGGCCCCGCCCCAGACCTTCTTAGTCAGAATCTGCATTTTAGCAACATGCCCAGGTGATTCCTCACACCTTGGGGCTTAACAAGCACTGGTAGAGCAGTCATCCAAGGGTGTATCATGTTGGGCTAGTTAGTTACTATATAAATGGCAAAGCTCTCTACGGTGAACCAGACAAAAGAATAAAATCAACAAGGCTAACTAGGACTTAAGCAAGAATTCTTAACTTGGTGGGAAGAAATCAGGGGGCTTGTGAACTTTGATGGAAAAGAAATTATAGTAAGAAAACAACAAAAAAAGAAATTATATCTTTGTTTTCACTGAGTTCTAACTACAATTGAACATTGCCTTTGACCATGAATATGAACAACTAAACCAGTAGTATTAGCAGTTCCTGTGACTTGGTACTAGTTTGTGAACAGTGTTATTTCCATGCCACATGATTACGTTTATAACATCTCTTCTTGGAGATCATGATAGTTATTAGACCTGATGCTAGACCTCATTAATGTATAAATTAAAAAGTACATCTGCTATTATATTGCACAGTTTCACAATATTTTGGTAACTATTTTCTATCTTCTTATTTTGATAATTATTGTACTTTAGTAATTTGCTTTATAATCTTATGAATTTTGTTGAATTTTTATATGTAGCAGTGAGGTCTATAGCCTTCAAAAGAATGCCTAACAAGTCCATGGCACAAAAATAATTAATAACCCCTCACTTAAAGACATTCAGTCATCAAATCAAATAATCTGGGTCTGATTGTAGGAGGCAACAGCGGAAAATTAAAAGTGAAGAGGGACTGGGTGTGGTGGCTCATGCCAGTAATTGCAGCACTTTGGGAGGCTGATGCAGGTGGATTGCTTGAGCTCAAGAGTCTGAGTCCAGCCTGAGCAGCATTGCAAAACCCCGTCTCTACCAAAAAAAAAAAAAAAAAGAAAAGAAAACTAGCCAGGTGTGATAGCACGCGAAAGTAATCCCAGCTACTCGGGATGTTAAGAGGTGGGAGGATCTCCTGAGCCCAGGAGGTTGAGGTTGCAGTGAGCCATGATTGTGCCACTGCATTCCAGCCTGGGTGACAGAGTGAGACCCTGTCTCAAAAAGAAAAAAAAGGCAGAGAGGAAGATTTAAAGCCATTTCTCAGAAGGAAAAAATCAACAAAACCACACATATGAATGGAACAGTTAGAGTGAGTGGTAAAGGCAGAAGATTCAAAATGACCACATGGTAGCAAAGCTCTGGAATAAAACCAAGATGAAGTGTGGGGTGTGTGTGTGTGTGCGTGTGTGCGTGTGTGTGTGCGTGTGTGTGTGTGTCAGGGGTAGCAAGGACAAATGAAGATGACTTTAGTTTTTAACACACAAAGAACAAGGTAAGTGCACACCTGTAGTGTAATCCACAGACTGGTTAAATGGAGGGGCTGGGCAGTGCAAGGGAGAAAAAAGGGCTCAACATGGCAAAGAGGCTGGTTGTGAAGATCATGTACTCTCAGAATGGATGAGTTCTTTGAGAGGGTTACATCACTGGAAACCAGATCAAGTTATGAAAAACAGAAAATACAATAGTTCTTTGGAAGGAAAAGGCTGAGTTTGAGGCAGGTAAATAGAGAATACAGAGTAGTTGGAAAAAGGGAGGCTGACTAGACACATTCTTGTGGAATTTGCAGTTATGAAATTTTCAGAAGAGGAGAAGAAAGAAGAGCAGGGCAGCTGATAACCAGGATACCACATCACAGGAGGACTGAAGAGTACAGTTTAATGGAGAAAGACACCCCAGAGAGCCCCAGAAGCAAAAGTTCAGAGGCATCCCTAAGAGTGGGCCATCCATCAACCCTCAGGGTACCATGGGTATTGCTGGAATGTTTCACAGAGCTGAAGGGAGAGGGGCAGTTGGTCTGCGTGTTAATCAGCGGTGGTTAAGATGGTCCAGCTCAGCAATTTCCTTTACACCTGCCCACCCCAACATGGAATTCACTGCTTCCTCTTCTCTGATCCCGCAGTCCTCTATGGGAGTGATTTAAATTTGAGTCCAGAAATTAGGGAAAGGATGGTTAATGAGACTGTATACGGCAGGTAGCTCTGAAGCATTTCATCTGGAAAGTGTCAGAACAGAGAATAGGAAGCAGGAAGAGGAGAATCACAGAATCTTTTATTTGCAAGAATACTTGCATGTGAAAGATTCTGGAGAAAGAGAGATGGACTAAGCACATAAGGGCAGAGATGCCATCAAGTAGAGGCAAGAAAAATACTCAGATGGGCAGTGGGATTGCATGGAAGAGGAAGAGTCATTCATGCGGCTGAAGCTTTCAGAGGAAAGTCAAGGCTTTTAAGAGAACGCTGAACAAAATTCCAAAGGTGCCAGCCTCCTTCAGGACCCCTTTTGCTAGATTTATCACACTTACCCCAACAGTGGCAGCCCAGGCATGCTGCCTCACCAATCCATGGTGCTTCTTCCTGCTCCAGCCTGAGGATCACATCTGGTTTGGTGCCTTCGTAACCTGTTCCGGGGAAATGATCCAGGCCTTGGGCTGAGCTCCTTGGTCTTCAGGGCCTCTCAGGCAGCTTTAAAGGCTGCACAACAGACATTATACTTGGGAGGCGACTAAACACACACCTTGTCCAGAACCAAAAGGATTAGTAATCCAGGACCATGGAAACTCAAGCCACACCCACTGAGGCAGCACAGGGTAAGAATGTATTCTGTGCTGCCAGATGCCGAGGTTCAAATCCTGATTCTGCTATGTACTAGCTGGGTGACTCTGGGCAAGTTACTTCACCTCTCTGTGCCTCAATTTCTAAATCTGTAAGAGTGGTACTAACAGTAACTAGCTCAAAAGGCTTGTATGAGGATGAAATAAGGTAACATTTTTAAAGTGGCTAAAACAGTTTCTGGCACATAGAAAAGTGCTAGATAACCATTAAATTAATTACTAAATAAATATTTCAGAGGTTCTAGGTACTTCAGCTCTTTGAGACAGAGTTTCGCTCTTGTCGCCCAGGCTGGAGTGCAATGGTGAGATCCCTGCTCATTGCAACCTCTGCCTCTCAGGTTCAAGTGATTCTCCTGCCTCAGCCTACCCAGTAGCTGGGATTACAGGTGCCTGCCACCATACCCAGCTAATTTTTGTATTTTTAGTAGAGACGTGGCTTCACCATGTTGGCCAGGCTGGTTTAAAACTCCTGAGTTTGGGCAGGTGATCCACCTGTCTCAGTCTCCCAAAGTACTTCAGTTGCTTTCAGCAACTGAGAAAGGAATCATTCAAACATAATCTGTATTGTATGGTGAAGGTGTTCTTACCCACTGAGACGAGGTTGCTATAGGTTTCCAGCATCACATCCCGGTACAGAGCCCTCTGTGTAGGATTCAGCCAGTGCCACTCCTCTTGGGTGAAGCCCACAACCACATCTTGGAATGACACAGGTGTCTGTTGAAACAAAAATGACATTAAGTCATGTAGAAAAAAATGTTTGTGCAGGGCCAGGCATGGTGGCTCATGCCTGTAATCCCAGAACTTTGGGAGGGCAGATCGCTTGAGGTCAGGAGTTCAACGCTAGCCTGGCAAACATGGTGAAAGCCCATGTATACTAAAAATACAAAAATTAGCCAGGCATGGTGGTGAACACTTGTAATCCCAGCTACTTGGGAGGTTGAGGTGGGAGAATCACTTCAACCTAAGAGTTGGAGGTTGCAGTAAGCCAAAATCACACCACTACACTCGAGCTTAGGTGGCAAAGTGAGACTCCATCTAAAAATAAAAGTGTTTGTGCAAGAGATGGTATTGATTTTCATTACAGTTACAGGTTAGAGCTTATCATCTATCTGGGAGGCCTTTTATGTTCTTGGCTTTGTGTTATATATGGTGGGGAAAATGAAAATCACATTGGAAGCTACCTACCATTGCCATTCATACTTTGAGTCAACAAACACTGAAGACCTACTGTGTGTTTCGCCCAGTGTTGGTTGCTGCGGTCTCAGTCATAAAAGGGTCCTGACCCCAAGGAGCCCATTGTCTGGCACAGAGAGAGCAACATGTAAAACCATCAGAGTAACAGTATCACAAGAGCTGTGATGGCAGGACATCCAGGCTATGGCATATAGAGAAGTGAATGACCTGTTAAAATTTTCAGGGTCTGGTTATTCCTCAAAGACCAGGGATATGGAGAGCTGAGTCTTTCTTCTCTGCAGGAAGATGGAAAACTGCATTCTATGCAGGGGAGCAGCATGAACAAAGGCCTGGGGGCAAAACAGTGATTTTAGGGGTGGCAAGTTACTTAGTAACAAGAGAAAAATATGCAGAGGCTGGGCATGGTGACTCACGCCTGTAATCCCAGCACTTTGGGAATCTGTGGCAGGTGGATCCCAAGGTCAGGAGATCAAAACCATCCGGGCTGTCACGGTGAAACCCCATCTCTACTAAAAATACAAAAAATTAGCTGGGCGTGGTGGCAGGCGCCTGTAGTCCCAGTTACTCAGGAGGCTGGGGCAGGAGAATTGCTTGAACCCAGGAGGCGGAGGTTGCGGTGAGCCAAGATTACGACACTGCACTCCAGCCTGGGCAACAGAGCGAGACTCCGTCTCAAAAAAAGAAAAAAAAAAAGCACACAGAGGTCTGCCACTAATTAAATGATAGACTTTAGGACAATGAAAACTCTATCAAAGAAGAAGTCTATGCAGAAAGCATATTCTAGAAGGCATGAGGTGAGCTGCCTGCATTCTATGTGAAGCGGTATAATGCTAACTTTAACTGTGAAAAGTTAAAATCTACATTGTATCCCTAGAGTAACCACTAAAATCATAATGTGAGGTATACCCGATGTAAATAAACAGAATATGCTTTCTAAGAGCATGCCTAATGATACTCCTGTGAGAAAAATCTCCATCTATGAGTCTGCTTTCCTGAGAACTCAGCCTGTATGTATGTACTAACTGTATGTACATACAAACTGTACATACTTACAATGCATCCTTTTTTTATTCTAGGACAATTTCCCCAGGAAGGAAAACTGGGATACTTAATGTGATACTCACCTGGTAGTTGATCATTTTCTGTTCTTCGAAAAAGATCTGACACCTGTACACATGTTGGGGGAAGAAGATGGAGAAAGAGAAAACAGAGAACAGTGTGTGAGGGACTAGGCCTGTCTTGGAAATTGCAAATTCCCTTTGTAAATCTTATACAAAAATCCATGCTTTTAGCTGGACGTGGTGGCTCACACCTGTACTCCTAGCACTTTAGGAGGCCAAGGTAGGAGAGTTACTTGAAACCAGGAGTTAGAGACCAGAGTGAGCAATATGGCAAAACCTTGTCTCTACAAAAAAGATAAAAAAATTAGCCAGGCATGGTGTTGCATGCCTATAGTCCCAGGTACCCAGGAGGCTGAGGTGGGAGGACTGCTTGAGCCCAGGAGGTCAAAGCTGCAGTGAGCCATGATCCCACTACTGCACTCCAGCCTGGGTGACAGAGTAAGACCCTGTCTCGAAAATTAAATATAAATAAACAAATAAATATCCTTTATCTCTTGTTTGTTTCAAATACTTTGAAATATTGTATAGGTCATAAAGCATAGACCATAAAGTATAGTTAGTATAGTATCTAAATGCCCCACACCCCAAGACATGTAATGATGATAAAAGGAAAAAAGAAGGCCGGGCGCGGTGGCTCACGCCTGTAATCCCAGCACTTTGGGAGGCCGAGGCGGGTGGATCACAAGGTCAAGAGATCGAGACCATCCTGGTCAACATGGTGAAACCCTGTCTCTACTAAAAATACAAAAAAAAAGTAGCTGGGCATGGTGGCATATGCCTGTAATCCAAGCTTCTCAGGAGGCTGAGGCAGGAGAATTGCCTGAACCCAGGAGGCGGAGGTTGCGGTGAGCCGAGATTGCGCCATTGCACTCCAGCCTGGGTAACAAGAGCGAAACTTCCGCCTCCTCAAAAAAAAAAAAAAAAAAAAAAAGGAAAAAAGGTAACTTTGCCCTGGAGAAACTTAGCAGTATCGCTTAGTCAAGCGCTCAGTTAACATGACCAGTAATGAGATAGAAGACATCATGTGCCTCCTGTGAAGGGTACAACATCCCTTCTGTGGCATTCATACTCCAAATGCATACATGAACCGAATCAATGAGGAGACATCAGGCAAAATCATACTGAGTTACACTATACAAAACAACCTACCTATACTCTTCAAAAATGTCGACCTCATGGAAGACGAAGACTGAGAAACTGCTCTTGATTAAAGGAGACTAAAGGGACGTGTCACCTAAAGGCAGCATATGATCCTGGATTGAAACCTGCAATGGAAAAAGAAAAGGTGCTATAGGGCCAGGCGCAGTGGCTCATGCCTGTAACCCCAGCAATTTGGGAGGCCGAGGTGGGCAGATCGCCTGAGGTCAGGAGTTTGAGGCCAGCCTGGGCAACATGGTGAAACCTTGTCTCTACTAACAATATATAAGGCCGGGCACGGTGGCTCACGCCTGTAATCCCAGCACTTTGGGAGGCCGAGGTGGTTGGATCACAAGGTCAAGAGATCCAGATCATTCTGATCAACACGGTGAAACCCCGTCTCTACTAAAAATACAAAAATTAGCTGGGTATGGTGGTGCACAACTGTAATCCCAGCTACTCAGGAGGCTGAGGCAGGAGAATTGCCTGAACCCAGGAGGTGGAGGTTGCGGTAAGCCGAAATTGCGCCATTGCACTCCAGCCTTGGTAACAAGAGCGAAACTCCATCTCAAAAACAACAACAACAAAATATATATATATAGAGAGAGAGCCAGGTGTGCTTGCAGATGCCTATAATCCCAGCTAATTTGGAGGCTGAGGCAGGAGAATCTCTTGAACGGGGAGCCAGAGGCTGGAGTAAGCCCAGATTGCACCATTGCATTCCAACAAGAGGGAGACTTCATCTCAAAAAAAAAAAAGTTGCTATAAAGTGACAAAGTGACAGTATTAGTTGACATCTGATTATAGATTGGATTAGTCTAGTCTTTATTCTATATTAGTCTAGTTATCATGATTATTAAATGGTTATAATACTGACTTAGTAATCAGTGTTAACTGCCGGGTTTTGAAAACTACTGGTTATATAAGAAAATGTTTGGCCGGGCGCGGTGGCTCAAGCCTGTAATCCCAGCACTTTGGGAGGCCGAGGCGGGTGGATCACGAGGTCGAGAGATCGAGACCATCCTGGTCAACATGGTGAAACCCCGTCTCTACTAAAAATACAAAAACTAGCTGGGCGTGGTGGCGCGTGCCTGTAATCCCAGCTACTTAGGAGGCTGAGGCAGGAGAATTGCCTGAGCCCAGGAGGCGGAGGTTGCGGTGAGCCGAGATCGCGCCATTGCACTCCAGCCTGGGTAACAAGAACGAAACTCCGTCTCAAAAAAAAAAAGAAAATGTTCTCATTCTTAGGAAATATACCCTGAAGTACTTACTTACGGGTAAAGGAGCATCATGTCTGCGAGTTAGTCTTAAGCAGTTAAAGAAAATAAAGAATAAGAATGATATATATATTTATGACAGGACAGAATCATAGATATATATATATATATATATATATATACATATTTGTATAGAGAGAGAGCACATGCAAATATGGCTTTATATAGATGAACCTAGGTAAGGAATACATAGGAGCCCACAGTAATATTCTTGCTTTTTTTTTGGAAAAAATTTTCCAAATAAAATGTTTAATTGAAAACAAAACAAAACAAAAAGCAAAAACTGGGCAGGCACAGTGGTTCATGCCTGTAATCCCAGCACTTTAGGAGGCTGAGATGGGTGGATCACTTGAGGTCAGGAGTTTGAGACCATCATAGTCAACATGGTGAAACCCCATCTCTACTAAAAATATAAAAGTTAGCCAGGCGTGGTGGTGCCTGTCTGTGATCCCAGCTCCTCAGGAGGCTGAAGCAAGAGAATTGCTTGAACCAGGGAGGCGGAGGTTGCAGTGAGCCAAGATTGCACCATTGCACTCCAGCCTGGGCGACGAGTGAAACTCCGTCTCGACAAAACAAAACAAAAGAAAATATATAGTAGGTCCATAAATTCTGCCGCCACCACCATTCTGAGAATCCAGGGTCTTTTCTACTGAGTCAAAATGGAGTGAATCCATCACATTTCAAAAGGCCAGGTGAGGTGCCAAAAATGACAGGAGAGCAGCTCAGTCTAGAAAGATCCAGCAAGAATAAAGGAGCAGATTGGCCACACCCCATACCACAAGATAGCAGAACGCACTGGGCTAGGTGGATGTCCCCTACTCCCGACAGAACAATGCCTATCGCACCTGCAGTGAGACTCCGGCCTCCCTACCTCTCCCTTCACTCTCTCTCCCTGGTTCTTGGCCCAACCCTCCTCTCATCCTTTAGCCAAGGAGAGTCCCTAGAAAGAGTAAGGTCTTCAGGTTGGGTCTTGCTCCGCTTCTGGCTCAGGGATGAAGCTATTTCTTTTACGTGAGCGTCTTTGCTCTGACAAGAGGTATGCGGCCTGGGTGATTCCTTCAGGAGGGAATTTTTGTCCCAAGTTCCCTTCTCCTGGACAGAAGGTCTTTAACATGGCCTGCCTGGGTGCTTACAGCTCCATATCTCAACAATAACTCACACTCACCTGCAGGGCTTGGCAGGGTCTTCTGTAGATGTTGTGACCAACGTCCTGTGGTTCTGAGCTGGCAGGAGCTAGAGAGCCCTACCATGCAGCAAGGTGGCAGGAGCCAAAGGTCTGAAGGGCACCCAGAAAACCTGAAGGTAAGCAGATCCCATGGTGGCAGTCACCCAATCGTCCCTCCCCAAACACTCCCTGGGGCCTCAGGGGGAAAAGCCTGTAGAGCGGTGCAGGAGACACACCTGAGTAATGGCTCTGCTCTGGAACTGGGGCAGGGGAAAATTCCACAAAGACCCTTGCGTCTGAGTCACTCCCTGAGCCAGGGAATGACTCAGATACAAGCTAGAGGCCAAGTAATTCCTCTGACTGAGGGAATCTAGGCTAGCCACTTTGCCTCTCTAGGCCTGTTTCCTCACCTGTGGAAACAGAAAGAGGCTGTCAAACAGAGACTCAGGAGCCAGACAACCTGGGTTCAAACACAGGTTCTGCTATTTACTGATGTGTGATGTTGAATGAGTTACTTAGTCTGTCTGTGTCTCAGTTTCCCCATCACTTATTTATTATTTTACCCTTCTTTAATTTCTGATGGAAAAAGACATTTTCCTCCTGTATTTATTGGTCTTTTGCATTTCTTTTGTAAAAATGTTTATGCTCTTAACTTACGATTTTCCTGAGTTATTTTCAAAAATTAATTTACAAGTGCTTTTTATATATTGAGGCTATTAATCCTTTGTCATATCTGTTATAAACATGTTTTTATAGTATGGCATTTGTCCTTATTTGTCATTTGTCCTTAAACTGGATTTATTAAATTTCAAATATCAAGGAAATTTTTCTGGTTATTTTTAATTATCAACTTGTTGATTTTTTTCCTTATACTTTCTGCTTCTGGTAGTATTTTTAGTAAAAGTCTTTTCCACGAGATTATTGAAATGGTCTTTTTAGCTTATAAGATTGGCAAAGATGCAAACTGTATCTCTTACATTGCTGGTAGGAGGGCAGGACATTCCAGCTTCCTGAAGGGCATTTATATCAGAACTTTTAGAGTGCACACTCATTAACCACTCTTTGACACCTAATAATGTGTCCCAAGGAACTAATTAGTCTCACTAAAATAAAAGATAAAGGTACAAGATGTTCACTTCATCTTTGCTTACAAAAGTAAAACAACTGGAAGCAATCAAAATGTACCAGTAATCATTTATGTTTTTTTTAAATTTATCTATTTGTTTATTTGAGATAGGCTGGAGTACAGTGGCATGATCACGCTTGCTGCAGCTTTGAACTCCCAGGCTCGGGTGATCCTCCCACCTCAGCCTCCTGAGTAGGAGGGACTATAGATAAGCACCAGCACACCTGGCTAATTTTTGATATTTTTTTTCTTTTTTTTATTGAGAAGACAGGGTTTCACCATGTTACCTACGCTGGTCTTGAACTCCTGGACTCAAGAAATCCACACACCCTGGCCTCCCAATGTGCTGGGATTATAGGTGTGAGCCACCGCACAAAGCAATTAAAAGACTGGTGGGCTGATATTGGTGAGTGACAGAATAGAACCCAAGACAGGCAATAGAAATAGTAATGGAGGCCTGGCATAGTGGCTCACGTCCGTAATCCTAGCACTTTCGGAAGCCGAGGTGGGCGGATCAACTGAGGTCAGCAGTTCGAGACTAGCTTGGCCAACATAGCAAAACCTCATCTCTACTAAAAATGGAAAATATTAGTTGATTGTGGTGGCAGGCGCCTGTAATCCTAGCTACTCAGAAGGCTGAGATAGGAGAATCGCCTGAACCCGGGATGCAGAGGTTGCAGTGAGCCAAGAACATGCCACTGTACTCCAGCCTGGGTGACAGAGTGAGACTGCATCACAAAAAAAAAAAAAAAAAAGAAAGAAAGAAAGAAATAGTAATGGAAGCCAGGCATGGTGGCTCATGCCTGTAATCCCAGCAGTTTGGGAGGCCGAGGTGGGCAGATCAGCTGAGGTCAGGAGTTCCAGACTAGCCTGGCCAACATGGTGAAATCTCATCTCTATTAAAAATAGAAAATATTAGCTGAGTGTGGTGGCAGACACCTGTAATCTCAGCTACTGAGGAGGCCGAGACAGGAGAATCACTTAAACCCAGGAGGCAGAGATTGCAGTGAGCCTGCACATGCCACTGTACCCCAGCCTGAGTGACAAAGCAAGACTTCACCTCAGAAACAAAGAAGAAAAGAAATAGTAATGGAGTGGTATACTCCTTGACTTGGAAGAGCATTTGTGATGTATTTTGAAGTAGGAAATACAAGTCAGAACATACAATGTGAAGCATAATTCTATTTTTAAGATTATAAGTCCAAATCTATGAAAATATTAACAGTTGTTTTCTGAGTGAAGGGATTGAAAGGAATTTACATTTCATTTTTGATGTGTTCATTTTCTAACTTTTCCAATAGCCTCATAATTATATATTTATTTGAATAATAGGAATAATAATAACAACAATAATGACAAATCAAAATAAGCATAGTCTTATGTAGGAAGGACAAATAAAAGTATGACACATCATAGGACTGATGGAAATAGAAAAAAAAAACAAAACTAGCTTGTATTTATTGAGCCCTGATCTCAACTTAGGCACTGTGTAAGGTTATTTCTTCATATTGACTCATTTATTCCTCACACTGCCTTCTAAACCGAGTCCTACTCCATTTTTAGATAAAGGCACAGTGCTGAGAGAGGTGAAGAACTAGCACCCAGCCGCACTGAGATACAGATCCCACCAGCCTGGCTGTAGCACTGGGTTTATAACTTCCCAGTCTTGCTGCCTCTCGGAGACAGGTTAGTCTTCTAAAAGAACAATGCAGGCTGGGCGCGGTGGCTCAAGCCTGTAATCCCAGCACTTTGGGAGGCCGAGGTGGGCAGACCATGAGGTCAAGAGATGGAGACCATCCTGACCAACATGGTGAAACCCCACCTCTACTAAATATACAAAAATTCAGCTGAGCGTGGTGGCGTGCGCCTGTAGTCCCAGTTACTCCGGAGGCTGAGGCAGGAGAATTGCCTGAACCCAGGAGGTGGAGGTTGCAGTGAGCCGAGATTGTATCACTGCACTCCAGCCTGGCGCCTGGTGACAGAGTGAGACTGTCTCAAAAAAAAAAAAAAAAAAAAAAAAGAACAATGCAATATTTGATGTCCACATTTTGTTTTTTTGAGACAGAGTTTATCTCTCATTGCCCGGCTGGAGTGCAGTGGTGCGATCTTGGCTCACTGCAGCCTCCACCCTCCCAGGTTCAAGCGATTCTCCTGCCTCAGCCTCCCAAGTAGCTTGGATTACAGGCATGAGCCACCACACCTGGCCTAATGTGCTCATTGAATACAACTAAGATCACCTCCAGCTGTAGAAATAGACTAAAATATGAAGGCAAGAAACAGTAATTTGATACATCTGGTAAAACTATATGGAATATTTTCTTCAATTTCCTTCAACAACAAGATAAAATTAGTCTAGTCATTTTTCTTTTTCTTTAAAAATGTATTTTTTCCTACTGGGGATGCCCATCTGCACACAGAACCAAGTGTGGCAGACAAAATCAGTGCCACCTATCCTGATCAAGTAACGAAATGTGAAAAACAAAGTTCCCTTCCTCCCTCAGCCCCAATTCCTCCCTAAAACTGAGCAACTGTGGGAAGAACCCACTTGAAGATGAAGTCAATCATTATCTTTCTTGGTAAAGAGTCAGTCTTAGGCCGGGCATGGTAGCTCATGCCTATAATCCCAGCATTCTGGGAGGCTGAGGTGTGCAGATCACTTGAGGCTAGGAGTTCAAGACCACCCCAGCCAACACGGTGAAATCCCATTTCTACTAAAACCACAAAAATTAGCAGGGTTTGGTGGCATGCACCTTTAGTCCCAGCTACTCAGGAGGCTGGAGAAGGAGAATTGGTTAAACCTGGGAGGCAGAGGTTAGAGTGAGCTAAAATCACACCACTGCACTCCAGTGTGGGTGACAGAGCAAGAATCCAAATTAAAAAAAAAAAAAAAAAAAAAGTCAGTCTTGGAAAGCAGTAGTGCCCTGCAGTCAGTCACTCTTCTAGCAGCATGGCAGCCATCTGATGGGCACCATCTCAACATTGTGACATGATTGTGACTTACACATTCTCATCATTAGTCCCCAACATTTGAACTCAAAAGCCATATTTTTCCCATATAGATACCATCATCTGGATGCTCTTAGTCACAAATCTATGAGTAGAGAGATCTAATCATAGATCTCTCATTGCCATACACAAAAGTGAACTCGGTATCTTCTCTCTCAACTTTTACTTCCTCTTAAGTCACAGCTTCTACCTCCCGAAGCTGTATGTTTTAAAGCTTTGTCTAGCACATTAACTCTTATTTATTTTTCATAAATGTCCTAGATATTCTCAAATGTTTCATCTTCAACATAAACTATAGAATTATTCTGCTAAATTTGGAGCAAAGAGATCCCTTCTTAATATTTTGAGTAACATTATACTGAATTTGTCTATTCATATAAGAAAATGTTGACAATTTTGAAAATTTTTGAGCCTTCCAATCGAAGAACAAGGCTTCAACATTTATTCAAGACTTCCTTTACGTCTCAAAATGTCATGTTTTATGCTTTCACATGGGTACTCCAATCTTCTTTTTATATCTGTTACTGCATAGTCAACTGTGTTTTCAGTTACCATTCTGAATGGCATGTTTTTATTCATTTAATTACTGACTGCAACTTTAAAAAGTCATCAATCCATTTTCCCATAGTCATTTTAAACCAATCACCTTACTGAACTTCCTTAATAACTATAATGGTTAATATTCTAGAGCTTTTGGGATAGACAATTATTTCATCCACAAATACACTTTTTCTTGTCTTGTCCAATATTTATGTTTCTTACTTCATTACCTGATTGACTGCAATGGCAGGTACTCTAGAAGAAGGCAAACTAAAGCAGGGACAGGTTGTTCACTTGAATGGGAACATATGCAGAGTTCTGCCATTACATCTGTGACTGACTTTTCACTTGAGACATAGAAGGTCTTATCTAGTTAAGGAAGTATCCAGGCTGGGTGTGGTGGCTCACACTGGTAATCATAGCACTTTGGGAGGCCAAGGCGGGTAGATCATGAGGTCAGGAGTTTGAGACAAGCCTGACCAAGATGGTGAAACCTCGTGTCTACTAATAATACAAAAATTAGCTAGGCATGCTGGCAGGTGCCTATAATCCCAGCTACTCTGGAGGCTGAGGCAGGAGAATTACTTGAACCTGAGAGTCGGAGGTTGCTGTGAGCAAAGATAGCGCCACTGACTCTAGCCTGGGTGACAGAGTAAGACTCTGTCTTTATTTATTTATTTATTTTTTTTGAGACGGAGTTTCGCTCTTGTTACCCAGGCTGGAGTGCAATGGTGCGATCTCGGCTCACCGCAACCTCTGCCTCCTGGTCTCAGGCAATTCTCCTGCCTCAGCCTCCTGAGTAGCTGGGATTACAGGCATGCACCACCAAGCCCAGCTAGTGTTTTGTATTTTTAGTAGAGACGGGGTTTCACCATGTTGACCAGGATGGTCTCGATCTCTCGACCTCGTGATCCACTCGCCTCGGCCTCCCAAAGTGCTGGGATTACAGGCTTGAGCCACCGCGCCCGGCCAAGACTCTGTCTTAAAAAATTAAAAAATCCAAATTGTTCTCTTTTATTGTTTTTTAAAATCCAGAACAGATGTTGAATTTTATCACATACTTTTTTCCCATCTATGATGTGGCTATAGTATGCTCCCTTGTCCCATTAAAATGGCAAAATTCATTAATAAATTATTGAAATAATACTGAACTTACTGTACTTATATTTTTAGGATAAATTTCCTCTCAGTCATAATGCATTATTTAACATATTACTAATTTTGCATATACATTTATAAGAAGGTTGAGCTATGGTTTTCTTTTGAAATACCACCTTTTCCTGTTTTTGGAATCAACGCAACAATATTGGCTGGGCACGGTGGCACATGCCTGTGGTCCCATCTACTAGGGAGGATGAGGAAGGAGAATCACTCAAACTCGGGAGATAGAGGTTGCCTTGTGCCAAGATCACACCACTGCACTCCAGACTGGGTAACAGAGCAAGATTCAGTCTCAAAGAAAAAAAAAAAAAACCCAACCCTCAGGGCCTAGTTCACGGTGTATGTTTTTGGCTTCCAGAGAGAATAAGAGAAAAGAGGCAATCTCAGATAGCCAAGCCAGAACTTCAGGTTAGAATTTCTTTTTTTTTTTCTTTCTTTCTTTTTTTTTTTAGAGTCTTGATCTGTTGCCCAGACTAGAATGCAATGGTGCAATTTCAGCTCACTGCAACCTCCGTCTCCCAAGTGCAAATGATTCTCCAGTCTCAGCCTCCTGAGTAGTTGGGATTACAGGCACTCAAATCCATGCCCAGATAATTTTTGTATTTTTGGTGGAGATGGTGTTTCACTCTGTTGACCAAGTTGGTCTCCAACTCCTGACATCAAGTGATCCGCCTGCCACAGCCTCCCAATGCTGGGATTACAGGTGTGAGCCACCATGCCCAGCCTTCAGGTTAGAATTTGTCCTGATGTTCATGTGGTTTCAAAATTTAATAAAATTTCCTCATGGTATAAATGCCGTGGCTTCACATTATTTATATGATTCAAATGGAATCCTATCAAATTCAATGAATATGAGCCAATCAAGTAGATTCATAGGGGACATATAAAATTCAATTCAAATTCAAAAGCAGGCAAAGTAATCTACTGTATTAAACCCTAGTTACTCCTGGGGTGGCAGGAGGTATTAACCAGTAAGGACACTTTCAAGGTCCTAGAAGTGATAAATATCTTGATCTAGGCTTTGGTTACAGGATTCTGTAATGTAAAAATTCAATGGGCTACACCTTAAAGATAAACCCACTTGACTACATGTGTATTATGCCTCAATTTTTTAAAAGAATTTTTTTTTTGAAACAGGGTCTTATTCTGTCACCCAGGATAGGGTGCAGTGGCACAATCATAGCTCACTGCAACCTCAAACTACTAGGTTCAGGGAATCCTCCCATCTCAGCCTCTCCAGTAGCTAGGATCACAAGTGTGAGCCACCCAACCTAGCTAATTTTAATTTTTGAGACAGAGTTTCGCTCTTGTTGCCCAGACTAGAGTGCAATGGCACAAGCTAAACTCACTGCAACCTCTGCCTCTGGGTTCAAGTAATTCTCCTGCCTCAGCCTCCCAAGTAGCTGGGATTACAGGCACCTGCCACCACACCCAGCTAATTTTTTTTTTTTTTTTTGTATTTTTAGTAGAGATGAAGCTTCACCATGTTGACCAGGCTGGTCTTGAACTCCTGATCTCAGGTGATCTACCTGCCTTGGCCTTCCAAAGTGCTGGGATTACAGATGTGAGCCACTGTACCTAGCCTGTCCAGCTCATATTTAAGTTTTTTGTAAAGATGGGTTTTCACTATGTTGCCCAGGCTGGTCTCAAGCTCCTGGCCTCAAGTGAGCCTCCTACCCCAGCCTTCCAAAGCACTGAGATTACAGGCACAAGACACTATGCCTGGCCAAAAAAGGAATATTTAGTGGTCTGAAAAAGCGTCTGTTATATAAATGAAATTATCTCGATTCAAGCTTAGAAATTCTGTTCAAACACAGCCACATCATGCCTCTCCCCGTGGTGCTTCTCCCTGCAATGAATATCCCATTAAATTAGAGATCAAAAACAGACTAAACTAATCTGTAAGGTTAGAAGGTAGGAGAATGCTTCTCTTTGGCAGAGTAGTGACTGGGAGGGGCATCATGGGGGCATGGTGCTACAATGTTGTTTTCTGATCTGAGTGCATTACCCAGAGGCATTCCCTTGCAAGAATTCATTGAGCTACATATTTACATACATGTTTGCATATATCTTATAACATAATAAAAGGTTTATGTTAAAAAAAAAAACTTAAAAAAAAATTATTTACTCTGAAACCTGGCACTAAGCACAGTGTAGGTGGTGAAGGGAATCAACTTGGAAAAAAAATATCCAAACTCCTTACCATGGCTTATTACTTCACCCATGTTAAGCAGCTATCTGTCTTCCATCCTGTGCAAATGAAAAACAGGGACTATCTGCCTTTAAAACTAAAACATGGGTTCTGAAAGATATTACCTGCCTTAGCATTCAGCTGCCTTTATTTCTTAAGAGGCATTGTGCATTGTCTGAAGGTTACATAAAGATCAAATGCAGTAATTTTTTAAAGTTAAAATATTGTTTTGGCATTGCACCTTTTCATTAGAGTAATGGTTCAAATCTTATTTCCTAACTCAGAAAAAAAAGTCTCACTGCATGTTCTCACTTATAAGATAATAATGTGTACACATGAACATAGAAAACAGAATAATAGACGCTGGTAACTCTGAATGAAGGGAGTTACGAGATAGGTACAGTGTACATTATTAAAAGGATAGTTACACTAAAAGCCCAGTCTTCCCCACTATGAAATTTATCTATGTAACAAAACTGCACTTACAGCCTCTAAATTTTTTTTTTTTTTTTTTTTTTTGAGACAGTCTCACTCTGTTACCCAGGCTGGAGTACAGTGGCACAGTCTCAGCTCACTGCAAACTCCACTTCCCACGTTCAAGTTATTCTCCTGCCTCAGCCTCCCAAGTAGCTGGGACTACAGGCTTATGCTACCACGCCCAGCTAATTGTTTGTATTTTTAGTTGAGATGAGGTTTCACTGTGTTAGCCAGGATGGTCTCGATCTCCAGACCTCGTGATCTGCCCACCTTGGCCTCCCAAAGTGCTGAGATTACAGGCATGAGCCACCACACCCAACCCCACTAAATCTATTTTTTAAAATCTTATTTGTATTTCATTTGAAATCCTATCTCAGCTGTTTTAATATAGTTCAATTTCAATTTCAGTGAAGAAAGGTTTCTAAAAGTAGCTTTAAATTTTGTTTTGTGGTTCTTGTGGCTTTATCTTTTCTGAATTTTTCTGCCAGGACTTTATAAGGAACTGATTGAGGTTAAACATGGCCATGCCTAAAATATATAGGACAAGGCAAAAAGATGCTCAGAATACAATAAATTCCAAATCTAGTTTCTCTTCCTTTGATAATTTATTTTTAAGTTGAGCCTAGATAAAAGTATTTTCTAAACACTCTCAGTTTGCTCTTTTAGCCATATCTTTTACATTATCATTTTATTTTATTTTATTTATTTTTTGAGACAGAATCTCATTTTGTCACCCAGGCTGAAGTGCAGTGGTACAATCTTGGTCCACTGCAACCTCCACCTCCTGGGTTTAAACGATTCTCCTGCCTCAGCCTGCAGAGTAGCTGGGACCTTTGGTGCCTGCCACCACACCTGGCTAATTTTTGTGTTCTTAGTAGAGGTAAGCTTTCACTATGTTGACCAGACTGGTAACTCCAAACTTCAAATGATCCACCCACCTCAGCCTCTGAAAGTGCTGGGATTACAGACATGAGCCATCGCGTTCAGCCCACATTATCATTTTAGATACTTACCTAGTAAATTTGTTTTCTAACCACAAGCAAGGTCACATCTATCCCAGCTGTCATAGAGTCAGAATGGATTGCCAGAAACCAGGCTCACTCGTGGGATGCTGTCACCGATGCATAGGTCATTACCTTTGCCAGAAAGAACCTTAAAGGAAACATTAGGAAAAAATACGCATTAGACCCCTAACAAGAACAATAGAAGCCACATCTTTAGTAACATGTTACTTTAGATAAGTTTAGCAGGTAATTCTTTCAAATTATTTTCATTATCGTGGAAAACAATAAAAAGGGGGTGTGTTCAAAACAGAGTTTTGAGATGGGCCTTGGTGGAGAGGAACTGGCTGCTATTCAGCTAAGGAGTGTCATGTGAGTGAAATGTGTTTCCATTAGGCAGGCTTGCAGCCTCAAATCTGTGATTTTCCAATCCGCAATCTCCACATTTCAGGAGCCTCAACACCAACCCCTATAAGCCTCCTAATCAGACACATAGTGTCCCCAATCACAGGCCTCGAATCTCCAACCCTCTGAGGTTCTCATAGTCATTGATATTCCTGTATGTTCAGATCTGACCAGGAAAGACTACTGGTCAGTAACTACAAAGCACACTGATCAGATCTGATTGCCAGTGAATCACACAGATCCCAGTCATGAACCCACACTGATCGCCGATGATATCCCAACGAATGGGGATTAATTGTTAATTCTCACACTCCCACCCCCACCCACAAGTGACAGTCCGAATCACCGAGCCTCATTGAGGCGTACCTTTAAGATAAGCAGACTTGACTCTATTCTCCATTCCCTGATCTACAAAAGTCGAATCATTAATACTCTCCGATCCTCCACGCATAATATGAAGGACGTCTCAATCACCGATGGCCCAAAACATTTCTCCAAACATTAATCACCAATGACCCCCCTCATAATTGGACACCAAAGTTTCCACAGTCACCAATTCTAGTACCCAAACTATTACTGCCCACAGAACTTAGAACCTCCTATCGCTGATCCTCTCAGGCTTCGGTCATTAACCCTAAAGCTCTCCAAACCTGTATCTGAAAAATCGCACTTGGCCCCAGACCCATGAAGACCATTATAACTGGCCACTATGCACCCTGCAAATCAAGACATTTCACAGAACCCGCGTTTATTGATTCCCACACACTCCCAATCTATCGTCTTCAGAGACAGTGCCACTGACTCCCGCAAACCTCTGCCCGCCACCACTGAGGCCCCGCGAGGCTCAGACACCCAATCTCTTAACCCTTCAGTCCCCTTGTCATTGAACCTTACGAGCACCCATAACTCACCCAGTCGGCCACCGTAGTCGCCGCGTCACTCTCCTCCACTGGTCCCCAGGTTTGACCGTTTCTCAAACCTACCCTTCCCATTTATGCTGGATCTGTGCCCTTAATCCGAAATTGATCGTCCTGCCACGCCGCCTCACTGCGGTATAAGGTCGTCCCATCCTGAATGGCCGGTGCGCAGACTCAATTGCGACATTTAGGCTATCAGCCGCCACCCGGCAACATTCCAGAGAACAGGATTCTGGGTTTCTCAAAGCTGTAATGGGAGACATGATGGCGGCTCCCGCTTGACTCTTACTGGGGGCGGCCATGTTTAAAGCTGTGCCGTACAACAGATAATTAAGCCCCTTGCTAGACCAAAAGATCAGGCTATTTTAGGACAGGGAGAAGCAAGTTTCCCTGGGTCTCTAAACAGAAATGTCGTCTCTGCTCTTAACTCAGCATCTGAGATGCCAAAACCTCCTGTGACCGACATGGCGACGCCCAGACTTCAGAGCTGAGCTTTCTTTGTCTCCAGCAGCTCCGTAAGATGGCCGCGTACATTTTTACAGCTTCTTACGTGCAATGGGTGAGGCCTCTGCGAGGAAGAGCTCCCTTATGACAATGTAAAACATTTTTCTGAGCTGGCTCTAGGAGTTAGAGAGCAGCGAAGAGACCTGCTTTTCTATTAGGGTGAAAGACGTAGCCTACGGAGGGGGCGTGACCTTCACGGAGAGGGCGGAGCCGCAAGGAAAAGGCGGGGCCGCCGCAGCAGTAAGAGATCTGAGATCTTAGCGCATAATGGGAAGGAAATGTTGAAAGCAAGGCCTTTCTGGAAGGAGGCTTGCCCGAGAAGCCGACCTGAGGGAAGAATATGAGTGCAAGCAGTTTATTGGGCAGGTAGGGGATGGAGAAGTGAGACGGGACAGAAGTGAGACGGGAGGGATGGCAACGAATATACAGTGCATCGATGAGCAGATTAGGTCTGCGATCAGTGGGGGCTCAGTCAGCTTGGCAACTCTGCGGGAATCTGTAGAAACCACTTCCAAGTTGTCACACCCACCAGGCTGATGAAGCTGAGATACGTATACAACATTTATCTTCCTCATTGTTTTAGGACCACTCCAGAGGCGTTAAAGCCCCAGGACTTCCTACCTGCCTCATGGGAAGGTCTCAGGCTGAGTTTGCAGGTGCCTGCAGTAAGAAGCCACCCGCAGGCCAGGCGTAAGATTGCCCAGGGGTGGTGGCTGGGTACCCACAGCGTTCACTACAGTCCAGCCTTGAATACCACCTAATGCAGTGCTCTGCATATCACAGGTATTGGAACATCTCTGGAAAATATTGCCTTGTCTTATGAAAATGAAATTTTTTTTTTTTTTTTGAGATGGAGTATCGCTCTTGTTACCCAGGCTGGAGTGCAATGGCGCGATCTCGGCTCACTGCAACCTCCGCCTCCTGGGTTCAGGCAATTCTCCTGCCTCAGCCTCCTGAGTAGCTGGAATTACAGGCACGAGCCACCATGCCCAGCTAATTTTTTGTATTTGTGGTAGAGACGGGGTTTCACCATATTGACCAGGATGGTCTCGATCTCTTGACCTCGTGATCCACCCGCCTCGGCCTCCCAAAGTGCTGGGATTACAGGCGTGAGCCACCGCGCCCGGCCAAAATGAATTTTTAAATAAATCCAAATTCCAACTGGTTATCCTAGCGACTGATTCAGTAACTGACCTCCGAAATGGTTCCTAGTGATTCCTACCTCCTGGTATTCACAGTCTTATGTAGTCCCCTCCCACATTGTACCACTGTTGGACTGTGAGACTAATAGAATACTGTAGCAGTGTTAGCATTTCCACTGCTGATATTAAATATAATAATAAAAGACACCTTGACTTCTGTCTTGAAGTCTGCTGCCCCCTCTTTGAGAGAAGTTATTCATGAGGACACTGAAACAGACTATGGAGAGGCCCATGTAGAAAGGAACTGAGGCCTCCAGCCAATAGCCCAGGAGGAGCTGGGGCCTTCCTATAACCAAGTGGATCACCCTTGGAAGCACATCTCCCAGCCCCAGTCAAACCTTGAGATGATTGCAGGCCCTGCCAATAGTTTGACTGTAACTGCATGAGAGACTCAGTCACAACCACTGAGCTATAGCAGCTCATATATTCCTGACCCTCAGAAAGTGTGTGAGATACTAAATGTTTGTTGTTTTAAACTTCTAAGTTTAATTTGTTATGCATCAATAGATAACTTTGATGCTGTGTCAAAATGCTACAATTGACATTTCTGAATTCCTTTTTTTTTTTTTTTTTTTTGTATGTTTGAGACAAGAGTTTTGCTCTTGTTGCCCTGGCTGGAATGCAATGGCATGATCTTGGCTCACCACAACCTTCACCTCCCAGTTTGATTTTCCTGGGGTAAAGCCCTGTTTTTCTTATTTCACCAGGTATGAGAAGTTGTGGATTTATAACTAAGTCAATTAAGGAATTTCACATTATGAATTCAATTTGAGATGGACTGGGCTCATGATACCTGGAAAGGGTAAATGAAAATCCACTCTGGAGGCACCTTCTGCCTCAAGGAGACTCCACAAGTAATATTTCAGGGACAAGGACCAGCAAGTTGTCACAGATATCCAGCATGCAAGAGAACAGAACCACATGAATGAGATCAAATAGATACAACAGATAGTATAAGGAGATTCATCTAACAGAGTAGCTTTGAACTAGGAATGTTGCTTTGGTTTGGGTTCAAGGCCCTCATTCTACTTCTCTTAGCCCACAACTGTGAGTCTTCAAGAAGTATGAATATACATTACAGTGACGGCTAGCCCTTGTTATCTACTGTGAGTACATACCATGTCACCACTAATTTCCCATAAAACCTGCCTACCCTCCAAAGTCTTTATAGGAGCTGTAGTAGTTGCCTCTGTTTAGATTATGGGGTTTATTTCCCACTGTGTCCTCTATAAGTGGTGGTAGATATTGTTTATTTCTTTTTTTTTTTTTTTTTTGAGACGGAGTTTCGCTCTTGTTACCCAGGCTGGAGTGCAATGGCGCGATCTCGGCTCACCGCAACCTCCGCCTCCTGAGTTCAAGCAATTCTCCTGCCTCAGCCTCCTCAGTAGCTGGGATTACAGGCACGTGTCACCATGCCCAGCTAATTTTTTTTATTTTTAGTAGAGACGGGGTTTCACCATGTTCACCAGGTTGGTCTCGATCTCTCGACCTCGTGATCCACCCGCCTCGGCCTCCCAAAGTGCTGGGATTACAGGCTTGAGCCACCGTGCCCGGCCTGATATTGTTTATTTCTAATCAGCACTAATTTCTACCTCTTTTTGTGCTCTTACCTGTGTTTCAGGGACTGGAAATCTAAGAATTTTACTTCCTAGACTACTTGCTACAAATCATCTAAAGAGTCTGGTTACTGCAAAAGACATGGTAAATAAGATATGGATAAAGAAGGGAGGTAGATGCTTTTTAAAATAGCAGTGAAGTGATATATAGACCAGCAGATACAGGCATCTAAGTGAACTCATCAGTCACCAGCAACAATTTTCTGAAACTTCCTGACCTCCAGATTGCAGCTTCATTAATGTGAGTTTAAAACCAGCCAGAGGCCACTCTTAAGTTCCATGCATATGGCAAGGGTCCAGGAAATAAGAAACAGAGTTAAGGGGGTGGTGTCATGGGGCATTTACTTGAATTTTTTATGCTATAATTTTCTCTTCTTTAAAATGGTGATAATAATCAAATTGTCAGTTATTAAATAAACTAACACCGTAAAAAAGAAAATTTCTTCAAGGCTGTATTTGCTTTCAGTAACAGTTTCTGAAAGCCTTTCCAGTTTCTGCCCATTCTCATGTTTGAGGTTTGTCTTATGGGCATATTCTACTTTTGTTTTGTTTGTCCAAACTCACCAAACTTCTTCCTTAAGATTGGTGTTATTTATTTATTTATTTAGAGACGGAGTCTCGCTCTGTTGCCAAACTGGAGTGCAGTGGAGTGGTCTAGGTTCACTGCAACCTCCAACTTCTGGGTTCAAGCGATTCTCCTGCCTCAGCCTCTCAAGCAGCCCAGACTACAGGTGCACACCACCATGCCCAGCTAATTTTTGTATTTTTAGTAGAGATGGGGGGCTTCACCATGTTGGACAGGATTGTCTCTATATCTTGACATCCTAATCCACCTGCCTTGACCTCCTAAAGTACTGGGATTACAGGCATGAGCCACCCTGCCCAGCCTATTTTATTTTAAACTACATAAGTCATACCACAATAAAACTGATTTAAAGTATACAGCACTTGTAAAAAGTAACTATACCTGGTATATAAAAATATATAGAAGATTTGAGTTATGGCTGAAGACTGAAACTATTGTAGAAACAAAAAATGGGGCAGGCATGGTGCCTTATGCCTATAATCCCAGCACTTTAGGAGGCTGAGGTGGGTGGGCCACTGAGGTCAGGAGTTCAAGAGCAGCCTGGGCAACATGGTAAAACCCCATCTGTACTAAAAGTACAAAAATTAGCCGGGTGTGGTGGTGTGTGCCTGTAGTCTCAGCTACTCAGGAAGCTGAGAAATAAGAATCATTTGAGCCGGGCACAGTGGCTCAAGCCTGTAATCCCAGCACTTTGGGAGGCCGAGGCGGGTGGATCACGAGGTCAAGAGATCGAGACCATCCTGGTCAACATGGTGAAACCCCATCTCCACTAAAAATACAAAAAATTAGCTGGGCATGGTGGCGCGTGCCTGTAATCCCAGCTACTCAGGAGGCTGAGGCAGGAGAATTGCCTGAACCCAGAAGGCGGAGGTTGCGGTGAGCCGAGATCGCGCCATTGCACTCCAGCCTGGGTAACAAGAGCGAAACTCCGTCTCAAAAAAAAAAAAAAAAAAGAATCGTTTGAACCCAGGAGGCAGAAGTTGCAGTGAGCTGAGATCGCACCACTGCACTCCAGCCTGGGTGACAGAGTAAAACTCT